ACCGTCACTTGCCCTGCGCCTGAATTTTGATCACATGACTAAAGGGAGGCTGCAATGGTCTTAAGTGTGAGAATCGGTCGCAAGTCACTCGTTTCAGTGCCTTTGTAACTTCGAAATGTCGCTAAACGAATGTTGTAAATCGAGGACTACCTCTGTCAAGGAAGAAAGCCTCCAGCAATCTTCATCCTTGCTATTTAGCTTCAAGAGGATAGGGTAGGGTAGGGTAGGGTAGGGTAGGGTAGGGTAGGGTAAGGTAAGGTAAGGTAAAGTAAGGTAGGACAGGACAGGACAAGACAAGACAAGACAAGACAAGAAGATGCCCTTTATTGTCATTTTTTACTATGAGTACTGGCCCACATTAAAAATGAAATTCTGTTTATCTATCCATATACATACATAACACACATATATTCATGCTATATACATATATATCCCCTCAGATGGGGACTGCAGCCAAGAAATTAAAAGACGCTTGCTCCTGGGAGGAAAGCTATGGCAAATCTAGGCAGCATTCTAAAAAGCAGAGACATCACCCTGCCAACAAAAGTGCGTATAGTCCAGGCCATGGTTTTCCCAGTTGCAATGTAAGGCTGTGAAAGTTGGACCATAAGAAAGGCTGAGCGCAAAAGAATTGAGGCCTTTGAACTATGATGCTGGAGAAGACTCCTACGAGTCCCTTGGACTGCAAGGCGTTCAAACCGGTCAGTCCTAGAAGAGATCAACCCCGACTGCTCTTTAGAAGGCCAGATCCTGAAGTTGAAACTCAAGTACTTTGGCCACCTAATGAGAAGGAAGGATTCACTGGAGAAGAGCCTAATGCTGGGAAAGATTGAGGGCAATAGAAGAAGGGGACGACAGAGAATGAGATGGCTGGATGGAGTCACTGAAGCAGTAGGTGTGAATTTAAATGGACTCCAGAAGATGGTAGAGGACAGGAAGACCTGGAGGAACGTTGTCCATGGGGTTGCGATGGGTCGGACACGACTTCGCAATTAACAACAACAACAACATACATACATATATACATGTAAATATTAATCACTGTCCATTTTTAACACATAGCGGAAAGAGAAAACTTGAGGGTTCACAAGGTTGATGCTATATGGAACAAAACTGTGGCTGAATCTACATGTTCTGCTTCGGATACCACGGAGCCCCCTCCTCCCAGAAGGGAACAAGGAAAACAGGTCATGAAGAGGATGTGTAGCATCCCAGACAGTGTTGTGGACCCTGCTCAAGCATCACTTCTACGCCACGTCCTGGATGGAAGGGAAGGAACTGCCAACGATCTTTTCTGCCATCCTCACCACTCTCTGTGCCGCCTTCCGGTCTGAAGCAGTGATGCTTCCAAACCAGTCTGTGATGCAACATGAAAGGGTACTCTTGATCATCCCTCTGTTGAAAGTGGTCAGGACAGGAGAAGGAAGATGTGCTTTTCTCATGCTACGGAGAAAATACAGGTGCTGCTGTGTCCGCTTCACCAGGGTCTCGCTGTTGAGTGACGAAGCCAGCCTACTCGTTAGCTGCACACCTTGAAACTTGATGCTGCTAACCACCTCCACAGGAGGATCATTAGTACACAGAGTTGTGTGATTATGCCTGCCTTTACTGAGAAGGGCAGAGAAAGGAGAACTTGCCTTATTAGAATGCAGTTGTGGGGTGAACTTATGATGCAATCAGGAGCTCTAAAAAGTCTGTCTAGAAGCACCCACAACTCTAACTGTTCCTGGTCTGACACCCTCCAAATATGTTCAGATTGCAATGACCCATCCAGGGGTGGGGGTGGGGAGGTGGGAGGGGTTGGAGAAGCCCCCCCCCCCGATTTTCCAGTCCTGCATTAAGCATCGCCCCAGGGTGCTCCAGGACCAACAAGGTTTACACCAGACATTTAATCAAACCAGGTAAGGATTTAGCAGCTGGCCCAGTCCTACGTCCCCAGTTTGCTTAGTTCTAACCATGCTAGCATGTTGGGTGAAGCCAGCCTAGTGGAAGCATTGATAATTCGGTGACTTAAATTGAGGTTAACCCAGAAAGCACCTGAAAGGGGGGTGTGTGTGTGAAGCAGTCGTTTAAATCCCCATCCAGGCTAAGCTGTCTCTGTTACCAATAGCCCTTGTAGCGTTTTTCCATAGAAAAAGCTTCCCTCTGTTGCTTTGACTGACTGATAGAGTTAAACATCCCTTCAGCCTCTGTTGTAGTAGTGGGGGCTTCTGTGCTTATGTAAAGCACTGCTCAGCTGGGCCCTGACCTGATGGCAGGATAAAACAGGAGGGCTGCAAAGCTTTGGGTAGCCTTGTTGGAGGGACTGCCCATCACACACACAGGAGGGTGCCTTTGATCTTGTTAACCCTTCACATGCCGGGGGGGGGGGAGGAATTTGATAATCACCTTTCATATTACTATACTTCCACTGATTATTTTTATTGTTTCATTTCTTGCTATTGTTAGTTTACATTTGTTATAATTTTTTGTTGTTGTTGTTTTATTGTTGCAAGCCGCCGGGACTAGCCCCATGGGTAAGATGGGTGGCAAATACATTGAATAAATCTCTCTCCTGTCTCTCTTTTCTCTCTCCTCTCTTTCTTTTCTCTCTCTTATGTCTCCTCTCTCTTTTCTTTCTTCTCTCTCTCTCTCTCTCTCTCTCTTTTCTCTCTCTCTCTGTCTTCTTTCTCATCTCTCTTCCCCTCTCTCTGTTCTCTCTTCTCTCCCTTCTCTTTCTTTCTTCTCTCTCTCTCTTCTTTCTCCTCTCCCTCTCTTTGTTCTCTATCTCTCTCTCTCTCTCTTTCCCTCTCTTCTTTCTCCTCTCTCTTCCCCTCTCTCTGTTCTCTCTTCTCTCCCCTCTCTCTTTCTCTCTCTCTCTCTCTTCTGGAATTGTTGAATGCTGAGGGGCTCAGCTCTTGTCCCTGTCCCAGCCTCCCGTACAGGCTGTTGGCCATTCAATCCCCACCTGCCCTGGGGAGGGGTCCTTCAAGGGTAAAATGGGGAGGGGGGTCTTCCTCAGGCTGGTTGCACTAGCAGAACTTGGGTAGCAGGCCAAGGGAAGGAAAGAGACAGCCAAGCCAAACGCTGGCGTTTGAGACCCCGCGGCCACGGCGTTAGCATGCCGATCACGCCCAGCCCGTGGCCGTAAGTGCCTTTGGCTTTGGATAAAGCCAAGCGAGCAAATTAATGTTCTTTTTCCATCCTATTAGGAGGAGTTTAAGTTGCAGAGAGGAGAAAATGAGGATTAAAAGGGTCAGGTCCACTCAGCTGCAAACAAAACGGTATCTTGGACCACGTGTCCGTGTGATATCTTTGGCTTGGGGTTGTTCACTGGGAAGCTTTGGGGGGGGGGCGATGAGAAGCTGTGCAAATTGCACATTGAGCAAGGGTGAGAGGGAGGGTCTGTACCGGCACCCGTCCCCAGAAAATCAAGGGGAATCTTGTCACAGGTAATCCTCGACTTAATGGCCCCAATTCAGCCCAACATTTCTGTTGCTGAGCGGGATAGCGGAGTGAGTTTTTATCCCATTTGCTGCCACCGTTGTTAAGCGAATCACTGCCACTGCTGAGTGAGTGAGACGGGTTCATAGATAAGAGCTAGTTGCCAAGTGTCTGAGTTTGGCTCAAGTCACCCCGGAGATGCTGTGACGGTCGTAAGTCTGAAAAACGTCGAGAAGCCTCTTTTTTTTCAGTGCTTTTATAATTTCGATCGGTCACTAAACAAACGGCTGTAAGTCAAGGACTACGTGTACAAGAAGAGGTCCAAGGGCTTGCATTTGAATCAGCACGACTTGGTCCAGCTGTCCTGGGCAAAGAACCTCGCCTGACTCCACCCAAAGCCACCTTGTCTCTTCTGCAGAATTGGCACTTTCATGGAAGGATGAAACGGTGTGTGTGTGTGTGTAGTTGTGATAGTTTCTCGGGGGGAAATATACTCTGCGGCATGTCATTAAGTGACCCTTTTCTCATTCCAAATACAAGCTGAACGTGAAGGTAACCACTCTCCCTATAATTTCCTAGCAGGAGAAGTTTGACAACAACTAGACTAGACTAGAACAGAGAAATAGGAATAGAGTGGAGTGGAGTGGAGTGGAGTAGACTAGAGTGGAGTAGACTAGAGTGGAGTAGAATAGAATAGAATAGAATAGAATAGAATAGAATAGAATAGAATAGAATAGAATAGAATAGAATGTAGAAATAAGAACAGAAAAGGACAGAGAAATAGAATGTAGAAATAAGAACAGAACAGAGTAGAGTAGAATAGAATAGAATAGAATAGAATAGAATAGAATAGAATAGAATAGAATAGAATAGAATAGAATCTTTATTGTCACTTTAAATCTGGGGATGATTGTGAAGGTTTATTTTTGTGTCTTAATGAGCAGAGTTCTCTGTGAAGATTCATTTCATAACAGTGTTACTAACTTAACAGCTGCAGTGATTCACTTAACAACCATGTCAAGAAAATTTGTAAAACAGGGCAAAACTCACTTAACCCGTATCATGCTCAACAACAGAAATTTGGGGCTCAGTTGTGGTTGCGTCAAGGTTCCGACTGACGCACCCAAGCAAGGAAACACCTGTGAGACATTCTGATCTCTTAATGTAGAACTTTATTGAGTACATCATTTCAGCATGTATGAAAGCAAAACCAGCTCTGGCAAACCCCAAGCCAAACCCCTATAGTAAAATGTATAGAATTCCCCTCCCCATCCTTGAACAGGTCACATTGCCCAATTAGGTGGAAATATATTGCTTTGAGAAAATGTCTCTGAGTCTGGTCCGACATCTGGCGAATCGTCCTTGGTTCTCATGGTCCGCCTGCCTTATCTCTGTAGCCTGCATTCCATTTCCCCATCCTCCCCCCAAGTTCATTGGCAAGCTAAGAAGCAATAATTGTTGCACCAGCAAAGCTTGACAGGTTGTAGATCAAGGATTACCTGCATGCCAAACCCGGTTAACTTCAGAGTAGCAGCCTGGGCCGTATTTTTCTGTAACTTTCTCCTATTTTCTCCCAGGTCGCCCGGGTCTTGCAACCCCGAGGAAGGTTCATCTCCATCACTTTCGCCCAGCCACATTTCCGCAAGCGCCACTACGCCCAGCGTGCCTACAACTGGTCCATCCAACATGTCAGTTACGGAAAGGACTTCCACTATTTCCTCTACATCATGAAGAAAGGTGGGGAGATGTCCCCCTCTGACATAGCCCTGGGGCAGAGCCTCCATCGGCATCCCTCGCCTCCCAGCCCTGTGTGCCTCCACCAGGAGCCCGACTGTGAGAATTACCTCTTCAACATTCAGCTCTGATCTCTAGGGAAGGAATACCTTGGGGGAAGGAGCAGCTTGTGGGGCGAAGGTCTCAAAGGGCTGTGCCAAGATACCTGTTCTAGAGCAGGGGTCTCCAACCTTGGCAACTTTTACGACTGGTGGACTTCAGCTCCCAGAATTCCTCAGCCAGCCATGTTGCCAAGGTTGGTGACCCCTGTTCAAAACCTTTTACATCCTGTGTGAACTTAACCAGATACAGTTGCAATACAGCAAGCTCAGTTCACACAGGATGTAAAAGAAAGTGGGAATGGCTTTGAGCAGGGGTCCCCAACCTCAGCAACTTTTACGACTGGTGGACTCCTCAGCCAGCCATGTTGCCTCTGCCAAAGAGTTCGGTTGCAATACAGCAAGCTCAGTTCACACAGGATGTAAAAGAAAGTGGGAGTGGCTTTGAGCAGGGGTCCCCAACCTCAGCAACTTTTACGACTGGTGGACTTCAACTCCCAGAATTCCTCAGCCAGCCATGTTGCCAAGGTTGGCGACCCGTGCTCAAAGCCTTTTACATCCTGTGTGAACTTAACCAGGGACGGTTGCAATACAGCAAGCTCAGTTCACACAGGATGTAAAAGAAAGTGGGAGTGGCTTTGAGCAGGGGTCCCCAACCTCAGCAACTTTTACGACTGGTGGACTTCAACTCCCAGAATTCCTCAGCCAGCCATGTTGCCAAGGTTGGCGACCCGTGCTCAAAGCCTTTTACATCCTGTGTGAACTTAACCAGGGACGGTTGCAATACAGCAAGCTCAGTTCACACAGGATGTAAAAGAAAGTGGGAGTGGCTTTGAGCAGGGATTCTGGGAGCTGAAGTCCACAAGTCTTAAAGTTGCCGAGGTTGGAGACCTCCTGCTCCAGGTCACCTGGGGTAATAATTCCCTGCATTTTTAATACTTTTTGATTAAAAAAAAAATAATCAAGCCTCCTCTTCTGTTGGCAAGGAGAGGCCTGTTCTCCGGGGAATTGGAATGGGAACGCTTTCTGCTGCCAATGTGGCGGCCGAAAGTAGTTTTTCTTCCAGCCCACCAAGCTCATATTTCAAGAGTTGTGAACCGGTGTGTGGGAAAGCAGGGAAGGGAGGAGTTAAAAACTGAGAAGTTTGGGGTGGTTTTTTTTTTTTTTTAATCTTGCCACTGTGCTCTGAATCGTCTAAGTGTCCTCAAGGCTCTTCTCGGCCACCTCGGTTTTCACAGATCTTCTGAAAAACCAAGAATGAGGACACCATCCAGATCTCCATTTTAAAGGGTTGGGGCCCCCAATTCAACACTGTTTTGGTTCTTCTGGGGAGGAACTCTCAACCTGTCTATCAAGGGCAGGGGTCTTCAAACTTGGCCCTTTTCTGACGCCTGGCTGAGGAATTCTGGGAGTTGAAGTCCACAAGTCAGAAAAGGGCCAAGTTTGAAGACCCCTGATCAAGGGTGTGTGAGGACTGTAAAATCTTTGGGAGTGAGGTGTTTGGTTTTTTTTTTTTAATATTTTCTATAAAGAGTAAACAAAAATGTAGTTGCCATCTATTGCACAACTCATGAACTACTGAACCCCATTTTAACATGGACGTCACCTGCTGTGAGAATCCAACCATTGAAGTCCTCTCTGCCGACCTTTTTTAAGCCGTTTTCTCCAACTCAGTGCCTTTCAAATGGCCGGGAGCGATGGGGCTCGTAGTCCTAATGCCTCTGGTAGGCAGTGGCTTTTCCGTGCACCGTTGAAGCCTCTCCGATTAATTCTGCAACCTGAAACTGGAACTCCGCCCTTGATTTTCTACTGTGCAGATTTGGTATACCTGAATGGTTGAAGTGTTATGTGCCGTGAATTTTTTTATTTTCCAATGAAATATAAAGGTGCTAAAATATAGAGCGATGCCCAGGTTGGATCCTGGGGAAGGAGAACCTGAGAGAAAGTGAGAAAGGGGAAAGGTTTCCTGTTTCTAAACAAGCAGTCCTCGACTTACGGCCACAACTGATGCCAACATTTCTGTTTGTAAGCGAGACAGTTGTTAAGTGAGCTTTGCCCCATTATACAACCATTCCTGCCACCGTTGTTTAAGTGAATCACTGCAGTTGTAACACGGGATTAAGTGAATCAGAAGGTCACAAAAGCAGATCACATGACCCCGGGACACTTCAACCGTCATAAGTACATGCCAGTTGCCAAGCGTCCGGATTTTGTTCCTGTGACCCTGGGGGTGCTGCAACGGTTGTTAAGTGTGAAAAATGGTCATAAGTCACTTCTTTCAGTGTCGTCGTTCGAACTTCGAACAGTCACTAAATGAACGTTGTAAGTTGAGGACTACCTGTAGATTATTTTTAAGTAATTTTTAAAAACTAGGGATTAGGGAGCCCGACCAGGACCAGGGAGATCTGAAGTACAGTCCCAGCTGTGGGATCTCCCTCAGCTGAACCTACTTTGTGAGGAAAAAGAAAGGAAATAGGGCTACCGTATGACTGCCATCTTATCTCTTGTTCTTCCCCAACCCATCTTCATGCATAAAGGAGAACAGGAGATGCATCCAAGTGTTATGCATGAGAAGATATCCTAGAAATAGCACTTTTTTCCCTCACACTTAAGAGTGCCCACAGCTGCGTGGGGATGTTTCCCCTCATATTCAGCCACTGAAGAGGAGGCAACAGAAGAAGGTTTTTGAGGGCTCCAGCTTCAGCACTCGATGTAAGCCACTTGTGATAAATAGCAAGTGAAACTCACCGTCTCCTGGTGATTGGCTCAAAGTCAGCCAGCCAGTTTTCATGCCTGAAACGGACTAGAACTCGCCGTCTCCTGGTTTTTAGGCCGACCCCTTAACCACTAGACCAGTGGTTCTCAACCTGTGGGTCGGGACCCCATTTGGGGTCAAACGACCATTTCACGGGGGTCACCAAACAAGGCTGTCAGCCATTTTTTCCCCCTTTTCTTTGGCATGCCCTTGGCACCCGGTGATGTATAAGTGGTTGGGGGTCACCACAACATGGGGAACTGTATTATGGGGTCGCGGCATTAGAAAGGTTGAGAACCACTGCACTAGACGTATTAATGGAGGATTTTGAGTAAGATCTGATCTTCGGTCTTTCTTCTTCAAGAGATCTTGGTTTTGCCGTTCTCAGAATGGACACGTTGCAAGTTGCAATGAGGAAAAAAAAAATGATGGGCCATCTTGGATCATGATGCTTTTCCAAGAAATGTGTTTTGAAGTCTTCGGTTGGTGTCATGGCACATTGTTGTTGTTGTTGTTAGTTGCGAAGTCATGTCCGACCCATCGCGACCCCATGGACAACGTTCCTCCAGGCCTTCCTGTCCTCTACCATCTTCTGGAGTCCACTGAAGCTCACGCCTACTGCTTCAGGGACTCCATCCAGCCACCTCATTCTCTGTCGTCCCCGTTCTATTGCCATCCATCTGTCCCAGCATCAGGCTCTTCTCCAGTGAGTCCTTCCTTCTCATTAGGTGGCCAAAGTATTTGAGTTTCAACTTCAGGATCTGGCCTTCTAAAGAACAGTCGGGGTTGATCTCCTCTAGGACTGATGGGTTTGATCGCCTTGCAGTCCAGGGGACTCGCAGGAGTCTTCTCCAGCACCATAGTTCAAGGACCTCGTGCTTCTATTTTTTTTTAATCGAGCGGAACTATTTTCATATTCATGTTTGCATAGGACAAAATCTGTTCCTGGTGGTTTAATGGCTTAAGAGGTCCTGGCCAGCTAGAATAGGGAGGAAACTTGGATTAGCCTTCAAGATTAGCCTTCCTGTAGATTAATTTTGTGGGCTTTGTCCAGCCACTGTCCATTAGCTTTGATTTTCTGTCAAGAGCAATATAAACAGCCTCCAGCCGCATGGAGTGAATCCAAAAGGATCAGAGAAATGGCAGGATAAAAATACGATGAACAGATGTGATGATGTAGATTTGATGAGATCAATCTGGAATCCTTAAAATGTTCCAATGGCAAGTCCCAGAATTCCCCAGTTGTGTTGACTAGAAATTCTGGGAACTGTAGTCCAAAAATGCCTGGATGGTGCTAAATCAAAGGAAAACAACATATACATTACAAAAACTGCATAAGGACTAAGGTTTCTAAATTAAAAAAAAAAAACTTTACGGGTTTCTATTTCCTAAAAGAGAAACTGGGTGCAAAGTGAGCCCACCTCTCAATAAAACTTTCCTCTGGAGGCTAAAAAAAAAATGTTGCATAGGAAGAAAATATGTTTGAAGGAAATCTAAAACCTCTTGCGTTGTATTCCTCCACATTTTTGTGCAAAATAGTTTCCAGAAAAATGCAGTTGCATTGTGAAATTATTTTCCTCTCTGCTTTTGGAAGACAAAGAAAAGCATAAACACCAAACTGAGAAAAAGGGGGGGGGGAGAATGCCGCCCTTATATACTTTATTCTGGAATCTTAATTTGCAATGTTTTTCATAGAAAGCTATTTTGGGGGGTGGGGGCTGACTGCGAATAATAAAAAGAGTTGTTTTGGAATTGGATGGTGCTGAAATTGAATCAAATATTTTTAAAACTCTGCTCAATAAAATAAAACACTGCTAACCAGTATGAAATAGTGTGGGTTATGCATGAATAACAGAATACCCCAGAAATAAAACAGAAATGTATGGGAGAACTTTGGAACTGAATAAGAAATATAAAAAAGAAAGGTGGGACAATTAAATTAAAACACAAAAATCCTACAAAGAGGAGCAGAATCCAAAAAACAGTGAATACAAACAAACTAAAAGGCTACAACACACTACTGTGAGCAAATGTTTGGCAAGTACATAGCAATCTTCCCAATTACACAAAATGTGCAGAAATGAAACTCTACACGTTTGCCAGAATGATCCACTGATTTAAAAGATGATGAAAAAAAAAGTAACACTGGAACTGGAAATGTTATATTCAAGGTATAGATATTTGGGGGGGGGGGGGAAACATTTATAGAGAAAAAAAATCCAGGTGCAGTAGATATAACATTTCTG